ACTGAGAAATTTCTTTGGGTGTACTCAAGACCTATAGAGTATAATATACGCTCTTTCTTATTTTCACAAGATCATACATACTCCTCTCAACGACTCATTACCAATAACGTGATGTCGCGTATCAACATACATTTAAATATATAAATAATATATAAACAAAAAAATAATAGTAATAATAAATTTACATACATTTTTTAAGTAAAGTACGTAAGAATAGTTCGTACATATTCATCTTCTAAAAGTACTTATACACATTTACACTATACACATGTAAACATACAGACAGACCATTCATATGTAAAGAATATAGGGAAATTATAAAGAAATATACGCATATAATTTCTATCTCAATATACGTATCGCCAGAAGCTAAACAAAAAAATATTTACGGAATTTTTACGCTACAAAATATATGCTCCAAAAAAATATGAAAGAAAAGAACAAAACAAACAGAAAAAACCGAAACATGAAAACATACACTCAGATACATTTAACAAATTTATTGGACATCCTCTTTACCGATGTCGAGGCATACGGTCAATCCACCAAACATCTGATACTATAGAGTATTTCAGAAATACAAACACACTCCGACATACACTCTCACAAGTGGCTACTATCAAGCGAAAATACCCTACACTCTTGTGCAAGCAAAATTTCATCAATTAGCAGAGCAATTCTATTTTTAAACTCGTGTTAACAATGTTCTTTTTTATTATTTTATCAGCTGCTTTTCTGTTCTGTGTACGAATACGAGAAATAAAGTGTTTGTTCACTTCACTACGACAGCAATCATCTGTACGTAATATACAAATAGGCGACCGTGCTCCTGGGTGTGTGTGCATATGTATAGGTATGTTTGAATGAGAACGGTCTTAGCGACCTCTAAAATACCTTTTTTTGGAAACAAGAACTGAATGAAATTTTTTTTCAAATATCTGTATTGTTTTGTCCATCACTGTTAAGCTGAAACACAGTAGTTTTTTGCCAAAGACTTTCTTTATTTTGTATATTTTATTTTAGTATTATTATTTCGTAGTTAATCCCTTTTAGAGCATTATTGCTCTCATTTTGTTTCTCTATATTTAAACAAGTGTTTATTTTGTATACATAATATAAATTACCGAAAGACATTTAAAGAGTCTGCTTTAAACTTTTAAGTCGACTTAATGATTTGCTACATCAAAGCCAATTTGAATCTTCTATGTGAATGCTGCTGATGTTCCATGAAAATAGAGCTGTTCAATTTTGTGCCAAGCCAAAAAATAGAAAGATCGCAATGATCTGGGGAACTGATACATCTGGTCCAAGCAGCTCTTAATAACATTTATGTTTTATAGTTGATAACTTCCTGGATATCTTCTAATTTGTAAGATAATACGTGAAAAGGATTAGCCTTTACTTGGAGAGAAAACTGAACCGATAATTTAAGATCGAACATCTGATATTCCATTCTGTGATAAACCAAAAAATGGAGAGACCTTAGTAAAAGAGGGAAATGTTCTATCTTGTTCAAGAAATCAATGAAGTAGGTGTAAAAATCGTTTATGTATTGTAATAGATAATTTCCTGGATTTATTCTTATTTGGAACATAATACCTGAAAACGATTGGAGAATGATTTGTGGAAAACTGAACCCATAACTAAAGATCGAATATCCGATATTCCTCCACAAAAGGTACGGTTCTTTGCATCGAATATCATAGGTTTCATAAGCAAAATGAAAACAAACCGTTGGACAAACTTTATTGTCTGACTGTACTATATCATAGCTTAGACTCTAGTGTAGAGGCTATGAACAAAAAAAAAGAAAAACAAAATAATAAAAACGCCTGTTAACCCGCTAGCACTAAAGCAACAAATGATCACAGCTACACTAAATCACACATATGTATGCAAATTCACACACACACACCCTCATATGATTTTGAATATAAACATGTATTTGTGGCAAATAAAATGCTTAAAAATGGGAATAAAAGTTTGATAAGCAGCACCAAGTTAATCTTTATTATATTGACTTATATTTAAATCAAATGCTCGTTTATATATATACAAAAACGTTCATTTCTCTACAATATGAACAAAAAAATACTGAAAAACAAGGAACGAATGTATAAAAATATTTATGCACAAAAAACAACAACAACAACACAGAAATATTGTAGCAAAAGACGTAATTCAATTTGAAGCGAAATTTTTGTGTTTTCAAGAAAAACAAATAAATGTTTATAAACTATTAAAATTTTGCGACTTTGAAAATAAAAACATTTAAATGAAAAAAAAAATCCTGCTATATGTATGCCGGTGGTGCCAGTATAAATTAGAGTGAATTTGTCTAAATGTATCTGTAAGCGCCACAACACAATAAACATTCTTATGCTTTACTCGTAGAAACAAAACAATGATGACATTTCCGCTTTAACACTCATTCACTCACTCATTCACATCTACACTGAATGAAATCTGTCATTTTTCACATCCAGGAGATTTTATTTCGTATGTTGATGCTTAACGGTGACAACATTGTTGTTTGTTTGTGCATTTCAGTTAGAAAACATTTGCACATAGTTTTGTATATTAAATTCTTAGTGCATCACTTACTTATTGTTTTTTGCATTGTTTAATTTATTATTTTTTTTTTCTGTGTTTAGTAGAATGAAATGAAATTTAAACTATTTTCGTTATTGTTTTATAAATCACAAACGCATATTTAAAATTTTCTTAGTTATTGATTGCATAGTTAACTGGAAAATATGTATGTACGATGATTAATACATAAAACATTTGTTGCTTTTATTATCGATCGGTTTCTTTTGATTTGTTTTTCTTATGAATTTAATTTATTTTGATTCTTTGCATGAAGATGCTAATTTAGCTTTTATATGAAGCAGAAATTGCGTTTTTAAATCTCTTCTCTACTTGATACGTAAACATGGCCTTAACCGATCAATCCAAAATTCAAAAAACATTATTGAAAACATATATCAATAATTTTTATATTAATATTTATAAGTCATTATATCCCATATCACCTTAGACTTTATATTACGCATAAAACTAGAAGTTCTAATAATAAATTTTAATATATGGCCTATTTTTGATTTTATGGCAATTTTTTTTTTTTTTTTTTTTTGCTAAAACGCGATTATTTCGAAATTTTATTGTTTTTAATTTCTTCTTATGCACCACGTATCTTTCACTTTTGTTCGAACCGATCAACTAACCCAAAGAGAGAGGGAGAAAAGATAGTGTGGCAGAGAATAAAAACAAAGTGAGAGTAAAAATGTGTGGAAGAAATGATAGTGTTGTCATTATGTTATATCAAAGTGCATTAGCTGCATAAAAAGGGAATTGAAAAATTTCAAATCTATTCTAGTCCACAGATTACCCAAAGGTGTGATATTTTCCAATGAATTGTTAAAAGATCATTGATCTTTTTTAATGTTAATAAGTCCTTAAAAAAGACTTTTGGAACTTTGCAGGTCAAAGGTCTCTTCCAAATAGTAAAATTTAAGCTCAAGTTCATATCTTAAAAAAACTAAATTTAGGTTCATTGTTCACTTTTAATCAATAATTTCACTATGAATATATAAAAATATATTGTGATATTTTTTCCAGGTCAAAGGTCACTCCTAAAAAACGCAAATTTTAAATACATACATACATATCCATTTCATAAACCCAAATTGTTGGTTGGTATTTATCATTTTCAATCGTATTAATTCTTAGAATTTCTTATTAAAATTTTATGACTAAAAATGCACTAAACACTTTTTGAATTTCTAAAATTCTTTTGGCAACCCTGCTTTTATTTAATAAGAATGTGAGAGAGTTATGAAACAAATACACACATCTTCATTTATACATAGATACAAATGAAAAACAAAAGTTGCAGGTTGTTGTTTTTCCTAAATTCCATCTTGTAAATTTCGTACTTTAAAAAAAAAAAAAACATATTATTGGACTTCGTAGAAGAAAAAAATAAAACAACAATGAAAAAAGCTCTCTGCCATATTAGTGTTATTTTTAAAAACACGAGTGCGTTTCACTAAAAAAAAGACAGAAAACAAATTAAAGCCACACAGCTAAAATGTAAACAAACAAGATCTTGTGTTGTTTGTGTTGCTTTTCTATTGATATTGTCATAGTTTTTTTTTGTTGTAGTTCACTTTTTTTTACAGATACATTAACACACCGATATGCGATTGTAGTAGAAGATGTAGCAGTGATGAGTTATATAATACTAATGGACATTTTTTGGTACTTTTTGTGGGAAATGTGTGACAAGAGTGCCTGAATTTGGGTTATTACAACGAAATCAATTTAATTTAAAGTTCTTTCTTTTACAAAATAAGCAACAATTTCGACTTTTGAGGATTGGGACTATTGTTATAAATACTGATCGGGAATTACACAGCAAATTATAGATAATATATTTCACTTAGTAAAACTATTTCTCTGTGTAATAAACACTTTATAAAACGGTTTCTAGGGCATAGAAATGTATAAATCCCATAACCTCAAATACTGCACCCTCTACCTAGCCTTCCAAAGTTGATAAACTGCTTAAGAGAGGCAAATTATCTCAGATATCTACTTTTCTTTTTGTAATCCATTTAAATAAAGTTTTTTACACAGATATTGGAACATAGGACTTACTTGGAACAAATTGTTCTTCTTTTCATCAAAAAAAGTACCCACTGACCGACTGCTTTACCCAACACTATCATTTGCAAGTGTCATAATGTACACGAATCATATTAATCAAATCATAAAGTACTTACAACATTTATCATTATTTAAAGACAGACTTTTTTCAGACAGACTCAGTCAGATAAACAATATTGAAATTGTTAAACAAGTAAGGGCCAGAGCACATTTTAAAAATATTTACATTAATGTAGAAAAAAAATCTTAAAATAAACTACATAACTTGCAGTTACAATTTATTAATCATTTACAGTTTTTTTTTTTGTACATTTTCTTTTGTTACTTACATTAAATATTTTATAAAAATACGAACGTATAAAGCGATAATGGACAATCTATTTAAACACAACTATAAATTTCTTTATTATTTTTTTTTTTTGTATTTTTTTTTCAAAAAAATTATCACTTTTTTATTGGTTTTTCTAGATTTTATCACTTGAAATAATACGAACAAATAATTAATAATTTTTTATAAATTTTTCCCGTCAACTCGCGTTGCTTATTTTACTGCGCGTGTTTTTGTTAAACTATTCATTAAATCACTCTCTTCTGTGCCAGCGACTCTCACGCTCTAGCTCTCTCACTCACTCTCGTTCTCCCTTTATCTCTTATATTTAGTCGTATTTTTTTATATTTACTATATTCTACGGGATCGTGTATGCAAGTGTAGGTGAACGAACAGAAAGAACAATATTTTTTTTTTAATTTTTTCTTATTTCTTTTGTAACTTTTCTTTTTTTTTTTTTTTTGTTAAATTAATTGATTAAACACTATTTATTTTTAATCTGTAGTATTGCATTCCGTTGTATAAAGTTTGTTAATAAAGCCGAAATCTATTTGATTTTAGTAAAATTGTATTAATTTAAACTTTATTTAGTTAAATTAATCTTTTTTGTATCTTTCAAACAACACACGGCACTAAATTTAGTGAATGCTACTAAATAAAACAAAAATACACACACTTCCGATTCGTAATGTCTCACAAACGACTGACAAAAGACAACTGAATGTAAAAGTGCAGAGCAGCAGACAACAAGTGGATAAGTGTACGGTCGTTGCTATTGTAGTGCTTTTTTCCTTAGATGTTTTAGTGCTTTTTATATAGCGCTCTTATAGAAATTTGAATTGTTTTTTTAACAATTTTTCCAGTTAGAATATTTAGAGCCCGAATTTTACAAATTACTATAATACGGCATCATAGTTTTTTCGAACTTAGAGATAAAGCTTTATGTTAAGAGCTTTTTAAGCAGCGTTTTAGTGCTTTAGAACAAATACATATATTTTTAAAAATCATCCAGCAATATTTTCTGTTTGAAACGGTTTTTTTCTAAATAAAATAACTTAGTTTTTTCTTAGATGTTTCAAACACTGCCTTATTAACAATAACTTTATTTTATATTGTTAACACTGCTTTATCAACTGTTTTATCGACATAAAATTAAAGTGCTGCCAGACAAATATTTAATACAGTTTTTTCGTTATTTTCTTAAATTTGAAATTGTTTATTTTTTGTATGTAGCGAATAAAATATATTGTTAAAAATTAATTTTTATGGCCTTGTGATAAACATCCGTAAAATTTCCAATATTTAAAAAATTGCTTAAAATAAAATTGTTAAAATTATTTTGCTATAAATACAAAGTTTTTATATACCTTTTATATTTTCCAATTCTTCACTAGACATTACGACGGGCATATGACTTTCTGTTAGTTCTTTGGTTTTGTGAACCATAGACTTTTTGAGTTCCATATATTTATCCCAGATAGTGACAGGTTCCTTTTTTGCTTTACCCATACTCATGTTAAGAGTAGCTCCCTGGTTGACATAGATCTGACGATTTAAATGTATATGTTTATTAGTAATAAATATATTATGTATTTGTTCTTCCACATCATCTGCAGCGGTTGTTTGACTCTCTACCACATTTTTCAATTTAAACTTTATTTCATTATTTTGCTTTTCCAACTTATTGATTTTCCATTTAAGACTCTCCTGTTGCTCCTGCAAATCACTGATAGTTTCCGTATCTTCTACATCAGATTCTTGCATTTTGGGTATGTAGATTTTGTGACGTATACGTTTAGCCATATACATTTCTGCTATATGGGTTATTTTGGCCAAAGCATAAATACACACAAAAATACCCAGGAAATTAACATAAAGATCGTATTTATCTTGACTTGGGGTAGTAGATTTTAAGACTTGCGGTGGAGGTTGTGCGGGCATAATGGGAATTTCTTAAAAAAATATTTTTTTAAATTTTCCATAATTTTTTAATAAAACTTACAAACCTTTAGTTAGTTCTTGAGGTATATTTGTATTAAATTGTAAAGTTTGTTCGATTTGTTGTATATAACACAATATAGCCCACGAAATAAAGCCCAATGACAAAAGAAAAAGAAAATTTATGGAAGTTATCATGATGTTTTTTATAGAAATTTTGAAATTACGATTTTTTGTGTAGTAGAAGAAAAAATAAATGAAGTTCTGAATAAAATTATTTCAACTAATGGCAAAGGTAATTTGGATTCTAAATTATTTTTTTCAAAATCTCTAGGAACACCTCACCAAACTTCTTGCAGACTTTTAAGCGATAAATTTAATAAAACACAATTTAAAATTTTCTATGTAAGGCGCATTAACTATATTTTATTTGTATAAAGTATCGTTTTAAATTCTATTATCTTTAAGATTTCCATCAAATATTTCGAATTCATAAGAACCATCATCATTCTCGAAATGTTGATCAACTTCATCGAATTCCTCATCTTCCTCTTCGGGGCAAAATTTACAACGACTTTCATTGACTCCATAATTAAGGCAAGTGGATCCCACGCATTCACAGCAGCCATCGTGAAACCATCTATAACTGCTGGCACCATAACTTCTGCAACTTTGGCGACATTTATTCCACGAAACACAATGATCGAAATACACTACAGTGCAATTTGCCAACAAATCTGTATCCAATTCATTCTCCGTTTTACCACTATAGATTTCATTCGTTTTCAAGTTTGAGCCTCTCAATGCCGCTTCATAGTTTACAGGAAATGTGAGAATACTCCAACTATATTCATCGGCAGGTGATGTGACTAAAGCTTCAAATAGTTCTGGCACTCCTTCTAAATTTTCCACATGAGATTTTTGTGATAAGGAGGTTTCCACATTGCTACTAGCCTTGGGACACAGATCCACACAACCGCAACAATTCTCAAAGTATTTTTTGCCCATGCAGCGTACACAGTCCTTAAAACACGACTCATCCTTTTGTTCGCATTTGCAACTTTGTGTTAGAATACATTTGGATACTATAGAACCGCAAACCTCTTCGTTGCAGGATTTGGCCGCATATTCGTGTACTAAGTTTAATATTAACAATATTTTCAACAAAACGAACAATTTTAAATACATCTTTATAAACTAGTAATTAGTTGTTACTCTATGGAATGTTATGTTACTACTGCTGCAAAATTTTTAGTTTTAAGGTATTTTATACCCAAAATTACAGTTGCTACCTGGAAAACCAAACTTTTGTGTTACTTACCTAAGTTTTTAAGGATACCACTTACCAATAGATATAAGCTAGTTAGAACAGCAATTAAAAATTTCATTTGTTTTTGTATATGGTTTAAGTACTTAATATTATATTAATTATAAAAAACGTTTAAAATGATAAGCAGCTAAGCTGCCAAAGATAAATATTTTCTTTGAAAATATTTGTTTATAAACTAACTTAAAAATACTTAATTCCTCCATGTTGTTAGGAAAAGTCCTTTTTAAAATGCCAGCGATTTCCGAGCCTTGAATGACGATTTTGCAGCATAGGGCGTTATGCGTGCTTGCACTCTACGTTTCTTTTTTAAATCCGTATTTTGGGAACTAGTCGAACTTGGAGTGGAGGGTACAAATGTCGAAGATTCAGCAGGATAGGGTGTTATACGTGTTTGCACTTTACGTTTCATTTTCAATTCGGAATTTTGAGCACTAGTCGAACTCGGGGTGGAGGGCGCAAATTTCGTAGATTCAGCAGGAAATGTTTTATTGTGTTCATCCTTATGGTGAGGACTGCTAAAATCGAAGTCATTTAAATTAAGCGATTTTAAATTAAAGATCAATTGTTGTGCCAAGGTAGTGTGATCCATTTTAGGTATGAATTAATTTACTAAACAAATTGCCTGTGTTAACAAACGGATGTTACTCGTAAAAACGATGTTGAGGAACTGATGTCCTTACCCTAGTTGGCAGGTCACTTATATACTACAATTTGCTAAAGATTATTCCAGCTAGATATAATAAAGGGATTATGTAGATAGGAAATTGAAAGATGCTTTCTTGTACCTGTAAGGATTTTGAATTCTTATTTGCTTACCTGCTTATTAAACTAATAGGAAATTTTATATAATTCTCACTAAATCGTTAATTTGCATATGGACAATTTGATTTTTAATTCCTAGAATTTCAATACACAAGTCATTAGTGGGACAGATGTTTCTATAAATATGATTTTTCTTATCTGGAATTATGTGCCAGATAATTTAAGTAAAGCAGATGTGCCAAAAATAATTTCTAATCTTGTTGTAACTAAAAATTCATATTTGAAAATTATTTCGCAAAGTTTTTTTTCATAAATTTGTATTCAGAAAATTATTTTTGAAAAATATTGTGCAACATTTTTATAAATATTTCGAATAATATTCGTTTTTGAAGAAAAAACTGTTTATGTTTTTGGAACCGATATAGTATTTTCTATACATTTATTGACTTAAATATCATATTTCAATATATTTTCTATTATTTCCAATAAGATAATAATAATTTTTTCAATATATAAAAGATTTTTAGTTTTGCAACAAAAACGTAATACCAATTATTTCCACTAAATTCTTATTTGAATTATAAGAAGAAAATTTTAAAATTTATTTTTATCAAAGAAAACATTTTCCCTAAAAACACAATTTTTTATTAAAAATTTTTACAAAAACGTAACATATTTTTAACAAAAACTCATTTTTAGGAAAATCTAGAATATTTACAAAAAATCGAATTTCTTGACAATATTCTTATTAAATTATTACCAAAATTCGACTAAAATATATTTCTTAATAAAGATTTTCACTAAAATTTTAACATTTTGCCTAAAAACCGGTTTTTACTAAAAATTAAATTCCAAATTTTCCCCAAAATTCCAATACTTTAGAAATTCGTTTTGCAAAAAAAAGTCCCACTTTATGGATTTTTGGAAATTCCAAAAATTTTAGGATTTTCTGTTTACCATCAAGAGTCAGCTAAGAAGTAATGAGATAGTCATAATAAAAATTTCCTAAATTTGCAAATCCACAACTTGTACAAAATGGGTCATTGGTCTACCTTTGTACTTTTGAAGTTCGAATTGTAACAAAAAAGTACATTTGTAACAATTTTACCAACCCAATGCTAAAAGTATGACCAGTTTTGTTATAATAAATTGTTAAAAAGAGCTTTTAAGCTTTTTTTAAAATAGGTATAATGTTATGTTGGAAACATAGCAGATATCTTGTAGAAATGGTAACATAAAACTCACTTACTTGGTATTAATATTACTTCCTTTTCCGCTAAATTTCCAAAAAGATTTCTATAATATGAACTTGTTTTCAACTTCAGATTAAATTTTCATTAAACTTCGTTTTTCTTTTACATTCCTCCTAAACCTCTTTTTCAAAATATATTTTCATGGCATTTCATTTCCTTTTAACACAAATAACTCAAAAGCTTATTTTTCTATTTTACATTTTACTTTAACATTACACTAACTCAAAACTAACACTGCCACACTCTGTTAACGCAACGAACGACAAAATAAAAGAAACACAACGAACGGCTAAAAAACTAATACAATTTTTTCCACAACTTTGCATTAAATTTTCTCTTATAATTTTAAACTTTGTGTAACGATTTTTATATACCGATATTAAGAAACATTTTATTAATAAATTTATGCAAAAATATTTAAATTTTAGTAACTTTTTAAAGCAAAAATATTAATTTTCTTCAGACACTCGAAATTAACAACCGAACCGTGTGAAAAATGCGCGAAAACTTAATAATTGTTGTCATTTTGGTTTAAATGTCAATATAGTATGTATTGTTGTTGTTGTTAATACATTTGGAGTAGTTTTTGAAATACTCTTGAGTGTTTTTTACTCAAACAAAAATGCAATGAGAAAAAACAAAAAATATTTTTTTGCAATGAGTGCAATTTTAAAATGCTCTTGAGTGGGTTTACAGTGCTTTTTGTTTAGTATGATTTATAAAAATAACAGAATTGTACAATGTTTAAAAGATTTTTCTGCAAAAACAGTTTAAAAATATTAACTTACTTTGTTTCCTTTTCCGCTAATGTTAATAAACATTTTAGTGAAATTTTATTTTACATTATTGGATGTTAATTAATCATTAACAAAATTTCTCTTATAAAAACTTAACTTTACATTTATAAGAAGAAAAATATCTTCCTTTTACTTTGCTTTTTCTTTACAAAAATAATTTAATTTTTTCCATAATTTTCTTTTACTTTAAGCTATTTGCTTTAATTTAAATTAACATTTTGCTATGACATCAATAAAAGACCTTTTAAATAAACACAAGCTTATTTCTTTTCTATTTTACATCTTCATTTAACATAACAACAACACTTTCACACACACACAGCCACTGTTATTAACGCAACGAACGAAACACAACGACCGGCAAAAAAAAAAAAACGAATACAATTTTTTCCACAACTTTGCACTAAATTTTCTCTTATAATTTTAAACTTTGTGAAAAGATTTTTATATACCGATATTAAGTAACACTTTATTAATAAATTTATGCAAAAATATTTAAACTTTGATAACTTTTTAATGCAAAAATATTAATTTTCCTTAGACACTAGTAATTAACAACCGAACCGTGTGAGAAATGCGCGAAAACTTAATAATTTCTGTCATTTTGGTTTAAATGTCAAAATAGTATGTATTGTTGTTGTTGTTAATACATTTGGAGTAGTTTTTGAAATGCTCTTGAGTGTTTTTTTACTATAGCAATTTATAAACAACAACAAAAGTGCAATAAGAAGATAAAAAATAGAAGTTTGTTGCAGTGGGGGCAATTTTAAAATACTCTTGAGTGGTTTTATATATAATAACAGAATTGTACAATATGAAATGTTTAAAAGATTTTTCTGCAAAATAGAGTTTAAAAAAGATTTACTTACATTATTTCCTTTTCCGCTAATGTTAATAAACATTTTGATGAAATTTTATTTTACATTATTCTCCCATAAAAATTTAACTTTATATTTATGTCAATGAAGAATATCTTACATTTTCTTTGCAAAAATAATTTAATTTCCTTTTTTTCAGATTTTTCTTTTACTTAAGCTATTTGCTTTATTTAAAATTTTTCTTTGACATCGATAAAAAACCTTTCAAACAACAACAACAAGCTTATTTCTTTTCTCTTTTATAATTTCTTTTAACATCACATCAATACTCACACACACAGCCACTTTTATTAACGCAACGAACAACAACGACCGGTTAGAAATTTTAACAATTTTTTCTACAAACTTTGCACTTAATTTTTTGCATTAATTTTAAACTTTGTGAAAAGATTTTTATATAACAACATTAAGAAACATTTTATTTAAACAATTATGCAAAAATATTTCAACTTTAACAATTATTTAATGAAAAAATAATAATTTTCTTCAGACACTTGAAATTGACAAACGAACCGTGTGAAAATGCGCGTAAACTAACTGCAGTGTTAACAGGGTGGCCAGATGTTCAACAAAAGATATGTCAAAAAGGCTTTTAAGTTAAAAATAGTTAAAGTAGTCATTAAAATTGTAAAAAATAATGTTAAATTTGTTACATAATTAACATTTTTCTAATACCAAAGCTCTATTTTAGTAGTTTTAAACACAAATAACGTGTAGGAATATATAGGCTTCGTGTCTCCACTACAAAATTTCCCTTATTAATATGTGTTGACATTTTAGTTTGAGTGTTGCTGTATTTTTGTTGTTGCGAATGCAATTTGAGTAGTTTTAAAAGTTCTTGAGTGGGATTCTGAGATTGAAATTATTTTGTAATTATAAAACGAAAATAGAATCCAATAGGATATCAAAAATATTGTTAAATTGAAATTTGTATCAGGGGTGGAAAAAAATGCACTGCAGATTTTTTTAAATAAAATATTTCCAAGCATTTTCAGCTTACTAACTGATTATAAATTATACATTCAAATAAAAAAAATTAATGAAATACTATTATTATGGTAAAAAATTGTACATTTAATAAACCTATATTTTATGAAAAGCCCAATTTAATAGTAAAATGTTGTTTTTAGAAAAAACCCATATTTAAAGAAAATCCATAAGAAAAAGTACAGTTCTTGAATCAGAAAAACTCGATTTAAAGAAAAAAAAAAAAAAAAAAAAAACATGTTAAAGAAAAATTCCGTTTAAAAATCCCTTTCAGGAAATGGTAAATTAATCTGGAAAATTTCTTTTTTTGGTAAAACCCATATTTAACGAAAATAAGTACGAAATACCCATCAAAAGAAAATAAATAAAGTTTCAGATTTAAGGAAAAAAAATACTTTTAATTAAAACTCCATTTTGAATTTAAAATGTTTAATTAATTTTAAACATAATTTTAGTTCTTAACAGTACTTAGTTCATGATGGCATATTTTTAGTTGTTTTTATTTAAAATATATATTTTTAAATGAAAAACCTACTTTTTGTTAACTTTCAAATAAATTGTTAATATTATTGGGGATTATATTATTCTAATTACAAATAAAAATGAATTTTACAAGAAAATTTTAGAATAATTCTAATTGGAATAAATTGACTGTTAAAATTTCCACTAGACCTTTTCCCTTTAAATATGTTATCATTTCTCAGTGAATAGCTGTCATTTACACAAACAGCTGTTTCAGTACTTTTGTTGTTGTTTTTCCATATGTGCAATAAGAAAAAACTCTTGAGTGATTTTTCTCCACTAGCTGTTGAGAACTACAGTGATTGCACGTTACTTTTCATATTTTTATTATAAATTACAAAGTCAAAGAAGAAGGAAAGCAAGCAATAAAATATACAGTTAGATTGATTTTTTTTTATTACAAAATTTAAAGTGAATTCAAATAATTCCAAATCAATACGAGTTAACAACAAAGGCTACAAAATTATTAGTGATATAAAAGTGAACAAATTTATAAGAATTTTTGGAAAAATAATAAGTACTATAGAGAAAGGAAAAAGTGTCCATAAAAAGTTCCTAATAGAAAAAAAAAAAACAACTATAATATAAATAAGTTATAGAAAGAAAATGTATACTGTTTCCAAAGGTCCCAGCAAAATTGTGGCCAAAACACGTAGAGGTAAGTTTAAAAATAAATAATTATTAAAAATTTCTTAAATAAAGTTAATAAAAAGGAGTTTTTTAAGGCAAAATAAATGTTATTAAAAATTGTTATGTCACAACATAAAGCAAGCAGGCACAGGCACCACCATGAAAAAACAAACCAATTACAAAGAGTAGAAATGAAAAAAAAATACTCAAATAAAGAGAGAATGTGAAATAATTTTGCTTTTACAATAAAAAAAGAGCATGCATTGGAATTGAGTAGTTTTTTCTTATTTGCTTTTGTTATTTTTGTATTGTGTGTGGTGCCGGTTTGTTTATTTTAATAATTATAGTGCAATAAAGGCGCTAAAATGTTTAAATTAAATTAAGAACAACAAATTTAATTAAAGTGTGTGTTGTTTCTATTCTATTGAAGGTTTATCACAAAATTTTGAAAAATTTGAAACCATCAAAGAAAGCAGTAAACGTAACAATGATGCAAATAGTCCGGAAAAATTAAGGTAAGTTGGTGAAAAGTTTTTCTTTAATACGCAATAAATGCAAATTCATCATCATGCCAAACATCCCGCTACCATATTCAAAACACACCGCATGTTTTATAATTATTTTAGCATAAAAAATCATTTTCACTAATTACTTAACATAACAAAAAGCAAAGCACATGCTTAAATAGTTTCTTTTTTTACTTTTGTTGTAGTTTTTCTTTTTTTTTTTACAAAATGAAAAATCAAGTGATTTAAAAAAACCATGTGTCTTATAAATAATACAAAATATATTTATTTTTGTTTGCCTGTCCGGCTGCCAGTCTGTATGTTTAAGTATTTAGAATGTGTCCCCACTTTTTGTTTCTACATGTACGTCATAGTTAAAGACTCTTGCTAGATAGAGACTCTGTTGTATACTTCTACTGAAGAAGCAGCCACTTACACAAACAGTGGGCAACAAATATAGTGTTCCTTTAAAAATGAATTTGCTTGTAAATTACAAATTGTACAATATGTTGTTCTTATAAAATTGCTTTCAAAAAACCAATTGTAATAGATTATTTATATACTTTTTTTATGTAACAGTGCCAAATGAAATTTATTAACAAAGCATTTTAAATTATTTGGTAGTTTTGTGCCCATAGATGCTATAGGAAACTATCGAGTTTGTGCTACATGATTACGTTGTAAATGTAGTCCTTTCGGGTGCCAATTTTTTGTAGATAAACTAAGACAATTAAAGAAATACATCAAGACGGTGACGGTACTTTTGCATTAACTGTATTAATAGCTTTTTAGTTACGCCAGGATAGTTCGTGAGTACCCGAAATGTACACTATCTCTATCTGAGATAACAGCTGGGTGTTTGAGCATAGTTTTCTTAACATTCGAAGTGGACAGTTGGAATTTTGACCGTCATTAGGAAATTTTCGGATTTTAGATGTTTTAAAAATGAATTTCATTGATGGAATGAATAGGCTTATACAAACACATATAATTTTGCGCTCTTTATTATGCCAAGACAGTACGTTTTTTGAAAAAACCTAACAAATAGTTCGCATGTTATGAGATGACTAAATCCTATTGGTTTTAATTGTGATTCAGTTAATATTTCTTGTGATTTATAATACAGTTCTAGTTCAATTCTAGTTCAGTTCTAGTTCAGTTCTAGTTCAGTTCTAGTTCAGTTCTAGTTCAGTTCTAGTTCAGTTCTAGTTCAGTTCTAGTTCAGTTCTAGTTCAGTTCTAGTTCAGTTCTAGTTCAGTTCTAGTTCAGTTCTAGTTCAGTTCTAGTTCAGTTCTAGTTCAGTTCTAGTTCAGTTCTAGTTCAGTTCTAGTTCAGTTCTAGTTCAGTTCTAGTTCAGTTCTAGTTCAGTTCTAGTTCAGTTCTAGTTCAGTTCTAGTTCAGTTCTAGTTCAGTTCTAGTTCAGTTCTAGTTCAGTTCTAGTTCTAGTTCAGTTCTAGTTCTAGTTCAGTTCTAGTTCAGTTCTAGTTCAGTTCTAGTTCAGTTCTAGTTCAGTTCTAGTTCAGTTCTAGTTCAGTTCTAGTTCAGTTCTAGTTCAGTTCTAGTTCAGTTCTAGTTCAGTTCTAGTTCAGTTCTAGTTCAGTTCTAGTTCAGTTCTAGTTCAGTTCTAGTTCAGTTCTAGTTCAGTTCTAGTTCAGTTCTAGTTCAGTTCTAGTTCAGATTCTAGTTCAGTTCGAGTCAGTTGCTAGTTCAGTTCTAGTTAAGTTCTAGTTCAGTTATGTTCAGTTCTAGTTCAGTTCTAGTTCAGTTCTAGTTCAGTTCTAGTTCAGTTATAGTTCAGTTTTCAGTTCAGGTTCTAGTCATTTCTAGTCAGTTCTAGTTCAGTTATAGTCGGTTATAGTTCGTTCTAGTTCAGTTCTATTCAGTTCTAGTTCAGTTCTAGTTCAGTTCTCGTTCAGTAATAGTTCAGTTCAGTTCAGTTGTAGTTCAGTTTAGTTCAGTTCTATTTCAGTTCTAGTCAGTTCTAGTTCAGTTCTATTTCAGTAGTTCTATTTCGTCTGTTCAGTTCTAGTTCAGTCTAGTTCAGTTCTAGTTCAGTTTTAGTTCAGTTCTAGTTCAGTTCTAGTTCAGTTCTAGTTCAGTTCTAGTTCAGTTCTAGTTCAGTTCAATTTAAGTATAATAAGAACAAGTTAATGCTTCTTATTCATAAGAAAATTTCTTAGTTTGTGTAAAAGAAAATGAAGGTAGAATTCTTAATACTTTTAACTTTTTCTAATTGTAGCACAACTTTTCCTGTACACTTTATTTATATATTTTTTATTTATTTATATGTACATTTATTGTTGATCTTCATATGTAGATCATCATCTTATTTGTTTGACCGTCTGTCTATCTGTTAGTCCCTGTGTCAATACTTTCGTCATATTCTTCTTACAATACTTCGATGTTATTTGTATAATTTGTTTTCAAGCAGATAAGCCATCCACAATTTATTGTAGTGGAAATTTTGTTTTTGTTGTTAAGGTTAAAATGGAAACTGGCGTGTAGTGTGTATTTATTTTTTAAAATTATTATAAGAAAAGGCAAAAGTGTTTTTTTTGTATTTAGATTTGAATTGTCAATCATGAACATTAATCATTTATTATTCAAACAAGCTACAATTTTTTTTTGAACAATAATAAAAACTGAATTTTAACGACAATAGTATAGACTCAGGCAAATAAATTTTAATAATAAATACAAATTGTTTCCAATGCTCCAGATTTTATCAATTGCTGGTTATAGACAATATAGAATGTTGTCGTTAATGTCCATGCAGAAATATGCAAAGTCATTTTAACTTTTATGATGTTGTATAGGTTCAAAAATTAAAATGATAACAGAAGACAGGCCTTTGTTTTTGTTTGGAAGTTATTTATAAACTGTTGAGAATTTTATGGTTGAGGCGATTTCTGTTAAATTTATTTGTAATTAGGTGCAACTTTGTTTTTTTATCGGTTAAGTTATATGGTTTGCTATTGTTTGCTGTGAAAATAATAATATTGAAATGAAAGTATCACGCAATGTTGCTAATTTTATTATTATTTGTATTAAAACATTTTTCAATTTTATAAAAAAATTCTAGAAATAATTTTTTTTTTGTTTTTTTTTTTTTTTTTTGTAAGATTTAGTTAATATAAATATTTCACCATAATTTGTTTTTTACCTGATTGTCTATGATTGCAAATTCTCTTAACAGTAGGTACAACAGACTTGAATTTTTATTGAACTTCAAGTTATAACTTTTCTGATTAACATTTAACGATATAAAACCCATTGCAAAATCATTATTATGCCAAACTCATACATATTTATGATGATTAAAATAAAACTCATTATAATTGTAGTCTACAAGTACTTGACAACTAGTAGAAAACGTGTAAATTCTTTAGAATGTAAGCTGAAGTGGTCTAAAAGTTAAATAGAGAAAAAAAAATCCACATTTTTTTTTAAGAATGTTTACAAAAGTTTTAAAAACTTTTAAAGAAAATCTATTAATGATTTTATTACATACAAATTTAATCAGTTAAATGTCTAGTATAGCTTTGCATTACTTTTGCTGTATCTTATCTAACAAAATTCACAATTTATCTTCATATTGCTTAACATTATCTGAAACATTTCTTATACAAATGCTCACAATTTAGATAATTTTATTTTAATTTTTAAAACATTTCCATAGATTATTTTTGCTTACATATATTTTAATAAAAAAAACGTAAATAAATTTATCTTCATGTGTGTGAAAATATAAAAAATAAACAAAAGAAAGACATCATGCCAAAAATATCTAAAACACTTTTCATTTCATAATACCAACCAGTGCATTTTATACCATATAAATACTCATAAATTGTTTGTTTGTGTTTTTCTGTTTTTAAAATAACAACAAATTTTAGCCATAAATAAAAAACGAAAGCAAAAAAAAAAAAAAAATAATTCTTTTAACTCTTTTTTTAAAAATAATTTTGTTTATCAGTGTACCACGTCCAGTTTTTCAAACAAAGAAAATTTATACGCATCCAAAGATTGTTGAAGAGGAAGTGTTGACACCTCAGCATGAGGAAATTATAAAATATATAAATGATTGTAAGTATAACAAATTTAATTTTACAAATAACAAAATATACGTTTGTTTTTTTGCACCCTAAAGCCTGGAATATAATAGTGGCTGACAATCCTTATGATCGAGCGCCCACTACTGCACCTGTGGCTGATGCTAATAACAATACTGGTAAATATTATGGAATAACTATGTTTTTGAAATGAATTTTATTTTTTTTAATTTTATTTGCTTAAAGCTACCTCCCTTATCATTAAATCAGCTAACGGTACTACGAATGGCCAGCTAGCTTCTTCTTCTACTTCCATATATTGTGTTGAACCTCCAAGTCCTGTTTTAAGTGACTTTAAACCTTTTGATCTGGAATCATGGTGGGGTCGTCGTCTATTTAACAACATCACCAAAAGTCTTTGAATCCTCAATGGCCTGTTAACCATAGCAGCCTTAACATTAAACCAAAAGTAAAGGAACCGGCTGTATTTTCTTTGCTCTTTGGCCATTGTTGATTTACAGATATAATTGTAATTTGTTTATTATTTTGTAATTTGTAATTTTAAGTTCTAAATTTAATTATAACGCTCTACTAATTAATGTTAATTTAAGCTTTATAATTCAAAACACCACACAACAAAAGAAACTACTGTGTATAGATTAAAATATCATTGTAAAAAATATTCGCCAGTCATTGTTAGTTAAAAAAAATAATGTCTTCCTTTATTCATAACTAAAAAAAAGAAAACGAAAATCGGTTTTGTAATTATTATTGTTAATTGTTTTTGTTTGTAATTCATTAAGTTTAGTTTTTAAATAAGTTTTTAGTGATTTCCTTTTTTAATGAATGTTTTTCCCATCAAAATTATTGTTTTGGATTGTAAGAAAATAAGAAAAGAAAATTAAAACAAAAGTTAAAACAAGATAAAATTAAAATTTTTGGATTATTTTAGAAAAAAGATTATTTCTGACGGAATTCTCTTTGACTCCCTTCAGAAACATTTTATTTTGCAAGATTTTTCTTTCGAAACGAAATACGCATCAAATGTTTTGTAATTCGTTTCGTATAAAACACTTGAATTTTATACAAAATTCTATTAATACCTCGTTTTCTTTTATTTAATTAACTTTTATTTGATTTTAAATGACATTTACAATGTCTCCACTCACTTAAAAGTAAACAATTAAAATATAACTGTAAATTTTGTTGAAAATCTTGTCTAAATAACCTAAAATCTTGATTAGAAGTAGCTGCCAGGGAATCTAAAATCTGTTCGGCTGTTAGTAAACAATTTGTAGCATAATTTAGGGCTTCTTCTAGATATTCTATCTAATTGGATAAAAGAGATTTTAAAGTTTATAGTTATATCACTTTTCATATTATGTATACACTTTTGCCAACCTTATGGTTTTTAATTTTCTTTGAACGTAAATAATGTTGGTAAATTCTTTCCAAACGTTTTTGCGACTGTTTGTATTCATATATGAGATTATCATAATTCGACTGCAATAATTCTAGCTCACATTTATGGACTTTTAATTCTTTGTCATATTTTAATAACTGTTTGCGGCATATATTGTAAGAGGAAATTAAATCTTCATGTCTAAGTTTAAGGAAATAGAAAGGATTTGAAAGTATGAAGAAGTTACAAATCTTAATTACTCACCTTTGTTGCATTAATAGTGGACTTATGGTTTCACAACATTCATTTATAGATTTATTTGTTATTTTGTCATCTCTTTCTTCCTCTTCCTCTGTAATACAGTTGTTTACGGTCAATATTAAATCTACCAAACGTTTATTTCTCTGCCTTTCATTTCTTAAACAGGCTTGCAGGTCCAAAACTCTTTCAGTTTGTCTGTCCAAAGCCATACGTAATTTATAATCTTGTCTATGATCTTCTATTAAATAATGTTCTAGTTGTGATATTGTCTGCCAAATTGAATCAAAATTAAGTTCCTCTTGACATGAAGTTGTTTCATCTTCTCTAGAGCTTTTGGGGGAATGGGATTTAATAGATTGTGTAGGACTTATTCTTGCTGTATGTTTACGAGACATTCTAGGTTTGTTGTGTATTCTAGCGGAGTCTTAAATTGAAAGCTACAGGGTATAAGTAAAATTGCTAAGGGAGAGTTTAAAAAGTGTGTTAAAAATAAAAATATGAAAACTAATTTAAGAAATCTGTTAGTTGTGGTTATAAAACGATAACCAAATACTAACACGATAACTCTAGTTTGCATTTTATTAGGGTTTTTGTTATTTAGAAACAAGTTGCTCCAGAAATCTAGAGATTGATGAAACGAAATCCTCTTTTGTATGCCTGTATATATTGCAGGTTGTGAAGGGTGAGGAGGAAATAGAGTTGATACCGAATATCAGACTGAAATGGGTAGGGACTAGGTTCCATGACGAAATGGGGGATATTGCGGGTATTGACCCTCGCAGTCTACAAGGTTTTATCAAGGGTTTCAGTCATTTCTTTGACTGTTATTTATAGGGGGCAAAGATTTTCTCCCTCATCTCTTTACTCTTTACTTGGTAAATATCTATCCTTTTTACCTATATTCTTCTTTCTTTCTGGTTTTTCTTTCTCTCTGTTTTTGAATCTTTACTCTTTGAAGGGAATCACAATGGACCTTATGGTCCCCGACTGGATATGCATCTTTTTATGATGCATAACCCTTCTAAACCAAAACCTAAGCCTGTATATTCGCTGACATTAATTTTTAGAGGAGTTGTCTGAAAATAATTTCAAAGTTTTTTCTTCGAATAAAATTTTGCAAAATCGTTTTATATGGAGTTGAGATAAGTTCATAAACTGAACAATTCGATCATATTATCTAATTTTGCTTTTAACAAGACAAAATATTACAAATTGTGAATATGTATTTGAAAAATATATTTGAATTAACGGATTTTTAGGTACTTTTCTAATTTGGCAATACCATGAGTCGTAAACTTGGCAGCCCATAAAAGTGGAATGCTGCCAAGTTTACTTAAAGCATAAATGAAAAATAAAATACTGTTATTTGCTTTAGGTTTTATAAAATTTTAAAATTAATTAAAAAAAATAAATAATGATTTTATAAAAATGAAAATACAATTTTATTGTAAACAAGATTTTTTTAGAAAATTTTTAAATTTTATGCCAAAAAGGGAAATTTTCTTATATAAATTTCAAACTAACGGCTTTAATAAAGCAAAGTGCTGCCAAGTCTCGGTTTAAAAAATAACGGCAAAATACTTTATGTGATAAGAACTGGCAGTGGTTTATATAACGGCTTCTCTCTCTCTCTCTCTTTCAATTATAACTCTTGTTCTTACTCAACATATTGTTTGGGTACTCATCGTACGAGTAATAATAATAAAACTAATAATAGTGCCATAAATTGTTTTTATTTTTTATGTTTATTTACTTATTGCTTTGCTGCTCATTGTTGTTGTTATTTGTCGTTGTCACTCGTTCAGTCAGTCTACATATGTATACTGATATCTCGACATTTTAGTAAATTAACATCCAACTCAATTGAAGACAAGTTCTGTTCAAATCAAAACTAAAACCAGAAAAAATAAATAAAATTTTAATTGTGTGCCAAGCAGTGGAGCAGGCAACACACATGTTAAAATTATACAGTCACCTAATCTTAATTTGATAAAGTTTTTTTTTGTTTGTTTCGTTAACATTTATAATAAGTAAAATTGTAAAGTGTTTTGTTTAAAGTATAAACAAATAAATAACTTAACGTAAAATATAACAAGAAAAAACTTTCCATTATGTCGAAAATTTTTAATGTTGTGGGTACACTATTCAAGAAACACCCCTTCCTAACCAACAGTGCAGTGTATGGCAGTTTGTATGTGGGAGCAGAATTTTCTCAACAATATTTAACCAAAAGAGTGCTGGTAAGCAGTGATAAATTTATTAATAATAAACTATAACAATAACACTTTCACAACTACACTTTTAATGTCTACACTTTAATTGTTGTAAAAAAATCTTAGGTTGACAAAGAATCTGTTAAACAGGACATCGATTATGCCACAGTGGGTCGTTATGCGGTCATGGGAACAGTTGTTTATGCTCCTACTTTATACATATGGTTTGTTTTTGTTGTGTTTATTTTTCTCATCATTTCCTTAATTTTATTTGATAGTCAACTATTTATTACAAGTCATTGCCTATTTATTCTCACATTTCTCTTTTATAACATTTCTTCTTTTTATATTCTATATAAAAAAATCATTCTATTGTTTTGTTTTTATAATGATTAAGTATAATTTTGACATTTTTATTGAAAGAAAAGCACTGCGGCAAGCACAACAACTATTTAGTTTATATAGAAAAATTTGCAAATGAAAATAATTATTAAAAAAAACAGCACTATAGTTAAGCCAAGAGGTATGTTTATGTCCCATCACTCACTCACCACTTAAACTACTACCCATTTCTAAAACACTTGCTCTCTTAAGCTTTTGTTAAAAGCTTTTAATACATTTAAATTGTTTTTGTTTACACAATAAAAACAATAACAGTAACACGTGCATTTTAAGCTGTAAATAAAACTTTTAACAATATGACGTCATTAAAAATATAGTTAAAGCTTTTTTTACATAAACAAAACAAACTTACACTTTGATAGCTTTTTTAATTTAGCTTTATCAAGCAGTCACGTTTTAAATTAAATAAAATACACTCTAACACAATTAATTAAATGCACCACTCTTCAACCACTCACATTAAATGCACCGGGCGTATGTGGCATGTCATTTAGCAACAGCAAAACATTCATCATACGTTTGTAAACAGAATTTTAAAGTTTTTCTTCCTTTACTAAAAGGTACAAATGGTTGGATCGTACTTTTCCCGGTACCGCCAAAAAGGTTATATTAAAAAAATTGTTCATAGATCAATTTGTTTTAACACCCTATTTATTAACCTTGTTTTACACTGGTAAGTTTACTTTTTTATAAATTATTGTTTTTTTATGAAAAAAATCTAACATTTTATCTTACAGGCATGTCTTGGATGGAGGGTCGTGAGGATATTACTTTGGAATTAAAACAAAAATTCTTGCCTACCTTTGAAAGATCCTGCATGTTTTGGCTGCCAGCACAAGTTTTCAATTTTGTCTTGATTCCTCCCAAATTTCGGGTTATCTATATGGGTGTCTGTGGTTTTGTTTGGGTGAATATTTTATGCTGGATTAAGAGACAACAAACTGAAACTAAAGAAGAAGAACTACCCGCCTTGACAGCAAATTGAGGAAGTGAAGAAAATTGAGGAAATAGCTAATTAATGCCTTTTAACGTGAACAAATTGATATTATAAATGCATTCCAAATATACTATGTAACAGAATTTAGTTAGTAATTTAAAGTTTCTAGTTAATAAGTGCAAAAGCTTTGTCGTTTTTGTTGTTGTTTTTCCTGAGAGGGAAAATAAAGCAGATTTTTTTCTAAGAAAAATTTACAAAACAAATGGAGTTTTTTTTTAATACAAGGATTGAGTGATTTTTTTTTTTGTTCAAAGATTGTGGTAGAAAACATTGTTTTCTACACCAAATTTGTAATATTTTAAAAGATTTGGTGAATGTGGTGAATTTTGGGTGAATTTCACTGGCAATGAGTTTTAAATGTTTTTTTAAGACACTAAAGCAAAATATTGAAAATTATAGTGAAAGCAGCAAAATTTTAAAATTTTTAGTTAAAACAGCAAATTTTTGAAAATTTTAGTAAAAACAGCAAAATTTTGAAAATTGTAGTAAAAAAGCAAAATTTTGAAAATTTTATTAAAAAAAGCAAAATTTTGAAAATTTTATTAAAAAAAGCAAAATTTTGAAAATTTTATTAAAAGAAGCTAAATTTTGAAAATTTTATTAAAAATTTTGAAAATTTTACTAAAAATAGCAAAATTTTGAAAATTGTACTAAAAATAGCAAAATTTTACGAAAAATAGCAAAATTTTGAAAATTTGCTAAAAATAGCAAAATTTTGAAAATTTTACTAAAAATAGGAAAATTTTGAAAATTTTACTAAAAATAGGAAAATTTTTAAAATTTTACAAAAAACAGCAAAATTTTGAACATTTCACTAAAAAAGAAAATTTTTTAAAAATTATACTAAAAAAACAAAATTTTTAAAAATTATACTAAAAATAGGAAATTTTTAAAAATTATACTAAAAATAGAAAATGTTGAAAATTTTACTAAAAATAGCAAAATTTTACTAATAATAGCAAAAAGGCATCTTCTCCGGTACCATAGAAGATCATGTGCCCAATTTCATCATTTCAAAATTGCGACCTGTAGTTTGATTATAAGGTTTACAAGCCCTATTCAGGGGTTCAGTTGTATGGCTTCGTCTTCGGTATCATTAGAAGATTATCTTCAAAATTGCGACCTGCAGTTTGATTAAAAGGTTTACAAGCCCTATTCAGGGGTTCAGTTGTATGGGGTCTAGGTGAAATAATGGACCGATGTTAATAATAGAAGATCATGTGCTGAATTTCACTGAATTATCTTCAAAATTGCGACCTGTAGTTTGATTAAAAGGTTTACATGGATGGACGGACAGACAGACGGACAATATTATTGGAATATTTTGGAAATTGTATTAAAAAAAATTCTAAATTAAGAAAATTGTACCGTATTTTTTTGTTATTTTTTTATTTTAAGTTTTACTATAAAAACAATAACAATTGCTTTGATAAATCAATGGTTATTGTCTCAAATAAATTTTAATTCATATACTCCTTGCATTTGGAAAAAAATTACAAAAAACAGGAATCAACCTTGACATTTGCTTTAAATAAATAAGTAAATTATTTAAAAAAAATATCTTTTCATTTCATTATAATGTTGGAACGACGAAGTACATGCTGTATAATTTATATAATTTTCTTCAGAAGAACATTTTACAAACATACAACTTCCTGTTTGTGAAAAACACAGTGAATGCAAGAGAATGAGAGAGAGTAAACTAAAATATTAATGATTTATGGCAAAGCTTAATTTGTATACAGTCAAGTTAAAGTTTGCAATGGCATGTTTAATTATGTTTCTACTCCCTGCTTTAAGGGGGGAGGAGGGATGGGTGTGAGTATGGTGTATATGTGAGTTATTTAAATTTTATATGACCCTGAAATTTTTGTTATTTAACCTAAACTGAAACAACAAAAACTAAACATATTTCTCTTAACAAACATATGTACGTATGTATATCCCCGTACATGCTCAATCATTTAATGTTTAGCAATATTCCATTAGTGGTCACCATCACTGGGGAATTTTCATTCATTCATTTATGCATGTCTTGTGTTTTTGGCAACAAATTTTGTATTTCATATGGTTAAAAATTGTGGTTGGTTTGTATGTGTATGTGTGTTTGTTTTCTAAATTACATTTTATTTGGAAATAGAAAGTTTAAGCTTTCAAACCTAAATACACACAATAAAGTTTCTTTTACAAGATTCTTATAATATGTATTTTATACTAAATAGACCAACAAGCAGCATTGTCTCTGCCATCTCTTCCTTTAGTTTAACTGTAGAACGCTGAGCTACCAGTTTGTTTTCTAATGTATGTATGTGTGTGTGTTTTTTTCTTCGTTTCGATTTTTTTTTGCTAGAAGTTGGTCTTCTTATTTACTTCCGCTTGTTTGTTCAAAGCGGAAAATTAATTCCATCTTGGCTTGTTTCCGTTTATCTTGTAAAACACATTTTTTTCTTTTGCTTCATCTTGTGTTGTGTGTATTTATTCTCCTACAATTTGACTTTACCCGGGAACTAGACAAACTGACTGACTACTAGTAAGCAGTTGTTTGTTTTTTGTTTATTTTTATTCTATATAAGTTTTTTTTGTATTTTATTTTACAACTAAAGTGTAAATAGTAGTAGATGTACAACAGCATCTTGTGTTATATGTATTTTTTTTTGGAACGGTGGTAGTGGCTGTTGTGCTGGTGGTGGTAAATGAAAGTACGAGTGGAGTTTATTATTTTGTTAGTCGTCATTTTGCTTATTTTTCTTGTATTTATTCTTTTTTTTTACGTTTCTGTGTATGTTTGAATATTTTGTACTTATTTTCTACTTTTATTTTCTTCTTTATTACTTCCATACGTTGATATATTTGGTTTTCTTTTCGGGGTCTTGTTGTTGATGTTTAGAAGAGTGGACGTTCAGAGTTAGCTGGGGTAGGGGATTCCTCCTTTTTCTTTTTTTGCTTTAAGGCTGGAGGTCATTGTAAATGAAAAAAGTGGAAAATTAAGCAAAAGTGTAATATATAAACGAATTTTTAATGCTGTACTTATTGTGAATTAAGTGAATTTTTTAGTTCGTTTTGGTATTAGTTTAGACTCAGCCTAGTCTATCGTTATAGACTATATCATATTCTTTAACCAGACTGTAGTTTAGTCTAAAGTTCAAACTTTAGTTCAGTGTTAAGTTTGGAATATAATCCTGTGTAAAGTTCAGATTATAGTCTAGCTTAAAATTCAAACTATAATCGAGACTATAGTCTAATCCATAGTTCAGACTATAGTCTAGTCTAGACTATGATCTAGTCTATAGTTCATACTATGGTCTAGTATATAGTCCATACTAGGGTATCTATTCCAGACTGTAGTCGAGTTTATAGTCTAGTATAAAGTCCCAACTATTGCCTAGTCTGTGGTCTATTCAAACTATAATCAAGACTATAATCTAATCCATAGTTCAGACAATAGTCTAGTCTAGACTATGATCTAGTATATACTTCATACTATGGTCTAGTATATAGTCCATACTAGAGTCAATATTCCAGACTGTAGTCGAGTCTATAGTCTAGTCTAAAGTCCCAACTATTGCCTAGTCTATAATCCTGACTACAGTCTAGTCTATAGTCCTGACTGCAGTCTAGTCTATAGTCCTGACTACAGTCTAGTCTAGTCTATACCGCAGACTATAGTCTAGTCTATGTAGTCTATAGCTCGAACTGTAGCCCAGACTATATCCTAGTCTAGACAATGATGTAGTCTATAGTTCATACTATGGTCTAGTATATAGTCCATACTAGGTTCTATATTCCAGACTGTAGTAGAGTCTACAGTCTAGTCTAAAGTCCTAATTATTGCCTAGTCTATAGTCCTGACTATAGTCTAGTCTGTAGTCTTGACTATAGTCTAGTCTATAGTCCTGACTATAGTCTACTCTATAGTCCAGTCTATAGTCCTGACTATAGTCTACTCTATAGTCCTGACTATAGTCTAGTCTATAGTCCTGACTATAGTCTACTCTATAGTCCCGACTATAGTCCAGGCTATAGTCCTGACCATGGTCTAGTATATAGTTCTGACTATAGTTTAATTTATAGTTCTGACTATGGTCTAGTCTATAGTGCTGACTATAGTCTATCTTTAGTCTAGTTTATACCGCAGACTATAGTCTAATCTATACCGCAGACTATAGTCTACTCTATACCGCAGACTATAGCCTACTCTATACCGCAGACTATAGTTTAGTCTATACCGTAGACTATAGTCTAGTCTATACCCCAGACTATAGTCTAGTCTATATCCCAGACTATTGCCCAGATTATAGCTTAGTCTATAGCCTAACCTATAGCCTTGTCTCTAGTCCAGTCTATAGACTAGTCTACTCTGGTCTATAGTCTTGATTATAGCCTTGACTATAGTTAAGTCTAAGTTCAAATTATTGTCTATTCGGGGCTATCAGCTATAGCGTGCCAAAAATTACTAAATATTTTTCCTATTCTTCAAGTTTTCATAACTTACCAAATATGTTCTCATAGATGTTGTTTATTTTCGAAGTATTTGTTATTGTTTGTCTTGTATATTTGTTTAAATAAAAAAAAAGATGATAAAAAAAACACAGGAAGGAAGTGACCAAGAGTTTCAGTCAGTCAGCCAGGCAGTCCATTAATAAACTGTAGTCTTCCTGTAGCTCCAATCAACACTGTTAAATATTCACATGCAAATTTCAGGACAAGTATAAAACATAAAAAATTATTATGCACCCCAAACCATACAACGACATTCAACAACATTTGAAAATTACTTAAGCTAAAAACTTGAAATATTAATTTAAAAAATTAATTTTCTTGTTGGTTGTTGTTGTCGTTTAAACACTTTTGAAAAGTGAAAAATAAAAACACAGACGCAAAAAAAAAAAAAAAACTTGACTTGTATTTTAATTATTTTTGTTGTTCCGTTTTTCATTAAAATTAAACAGTTGCCTCGCACTTCAAAGACGTTTTGGTGTTGTGTTAGTGTTAGTGCTTTTTTAATGTCTCGGCTGTTGTCTGTTTAATGCCATTTAATTGCTGTAAATTTTCTACAAAAGCTACTTGTAAAATCTTGGCACATAATCTGGAAACCAACAAACATTGAATTTAAACCAAAACGTCACTCCCCCTTAACAAACACCCGCATCTAGTGCCACCTTTAATGATAAAATGAAAAAGAAAATTCTCCCACTCTCCGTTT